ACATGGGAATAGCAGTGATGTCTACTGCATAGAGTCACTTGAGCATTAAATGAGGTCATGTGGAAATGTCAAGTCAGAGGACAGCCATTTGGCAGTGTGCCCAGATGAACTGATTTCTCTACGAGTATGATTGTGGAGAATGGCAGTCACTTGGAGGTATGGCTTTGTGGTCAGCCAGGCTTACTCACTAGCTGAGTGACTCTTTTATATCCAGGCCATTCAGTGCTTGCCTTTTAAATATATTCCTCAGCAAAACTGCAAAGTGCTACACGTCAAGGACCTTTCGGGCTGCTCTCTAATAGTCTCAATGCGGGTAAACTCACCACAATCTAATGGATGTGTTGAAAGTGATTATCTTAGCCAATGTTTTTCACATCTTTTAAAAATCCTTTGCCAGTAAAATTTGTGCTCTAGTACAAATTAGATCTCCAGTTAAATGATGATAATACCTAAAACAGTTTTAGTAGCTAGGGAATACTTATTTAGTAAAGTTATTTCACAATTTCCACATTATTTGGTAGGATTGGTTGACTTAGGTGAAAAATGACCAATGAGAAGTGTATGACAGAAGCTGCTACAGATTTAACCATCTCAACAGTATTCTTGAAGAAAGTAGTACATTATCTTAAATAACAGGCCAAAATAATGGTCTTAAAATTCACATGTACTTATATCTTTTGTTATTTCATAAATAATTTGAGATAGTAACATATTTGAATTGAAAGCTACCTACATATTTTTGTGCCTTTACTTCTAATCATTGTTTCAAAATAGCATTTTAAAGTTATGAAACAGTTAAAGCTTAATTATTTAAGAATATGAATATTTTTACTCATAATGATTGCTTTAAATTGATCTGACTAATGTAGAGAATTGGGTATTCATTTCTGAGCTATCAAAGCTGATAAACATATGCACACTCACTTGTCAGAAATTGACTGATTTGGGGTTAATTTTATAATACAAGCCAATGAAACTTTAGCTAGCACCCTTTTTTGTTGTACTTTGAACTGAAGTGTTTAAAAGTGTTAAAAAGTTCCTAACGTTTTTCCAGAGGAGTTTTTAAAAACCGTTTCTCTAGTGAAAAGTCTAACTGATGGACTCACAATATTTCCAAAATATGATGTTGCAGGATTTAACAGGTTTGTTGCATATAATGGATAAGAGTTGGGCAGTCTGGACACCAGGCCTTAATCTCATTTACCATAGACCTTATGGAAATTAGCTTTTCTGTTTTTACTTTTGTAAAAAGGATGTAATATATACCTCTAACTAATGTATGTATAGAATATAGATAAATTGAGCTTTAGGCCCCTTTACAGAAAGGATCAATGAAAATCAAGCTCATAACAACAACAAAAGTTGCAGCTACTGCTGTTTGTACTAACGCTGTCATGCTTGCCCATACTTTAGATTCTGGGAAGAAGTGTTAACATTTTGAAACCTTTCTGGGCCATGAATTAGCAATTTATAACTTTTGAAGTCCCTATGATGAGGAATGTTCTATCTTTTTTTTTAATTTTAGAAAAACGTTTTCAGAGTTAAATTGGATGTAGATAATATTTTCTTTCTGTGTGATTAAAAGTCCAGTGACTGTAGAGCTTTTTGTTTTGTTTTATGAGAATTGAGTTCTCTTCCCTTGAATATTGTGACAAAGGGAAAAAGTCTGTGGTTCTCTCAGAATATTTATTCCCTCTGTAGAGCTTCTTCAGGTGGGTGCCAGTTAGTTCAATACCCTTTTCACTTTTCTGCCAAGGCTAAACATTCCTCTAAGACATAAGCTGTTATCTTTTTTTTTTGTAACCCATGGCCTAATTGAGAGATTAATGCACAATTAGCTACTCAATACATGTTTAAACCACACAGTCTTATGAATGATAGGATGGGCATTGTAGAAAAGTAGTTGAGTATGAAAATACATGAAATAAGTATGATTGCGATGGAAGGTTTTAGTAGGGAGTAGTGAGAGGGAGGGCTAAAAAAAAGGATTAGAGCTTGCTTTTAGAAGTACTTAGCTGTAGATAGTAAACATTATTCTTTAGGTTCTTTGTCTCTCACACAGAAACTTGTAATTATCTCATTATGACAAAGTAGGGAATCTCTTCCGCAGACTTTGGGAATTAAACAAGTGTTATTCCAATGTTTGCTGCTGCCCTTTTTCTTGAATTTCATTCTTGCATGTGTGCTGAGGATGGAACATTTCTGTCAGCACTTGTGAGTAGAGACTGCACTGTGAATTGCTGTGTATGGAACTATAGAGAGCACGTTTGTTGTATTAAGGGCATATTTTTAACTATATTATTAATGATATTAGCAAGTTCTTGATGAAGTCCCAATCAACTTCTAGTGCATCTTGAGGGAGTTAAAATTGTTGATGTTAATGAAGAATGGAAAATTCCTTTTGGAGGTAAAGTTTTAAATCTAATTTGAAATAAAGAATTTATTCGTTAAAGGAACAAATAAGAAACTCTTACCCTCTGGAGATCTGAGTATTTCTTGACTTAAATCTTCATATTCTAATATGCTTGGCATTTATGTCCTTCGTCCCTATCACTAAACCATCAGGCAGCCTGATACTTATGAGGTATGTTCCCTGGAGTGATTCCAGACTGAGTTTTTGCAGTCAAGGTAAGATTATGGAACAGAGGGACAAAGAAGAAATTAACATGGCTGTGGCCTAATTTCAAAGCAAAACTTTGACATGTGTTCATGTTTGACCTCTAGATTGCTTGTTTCTTGAAAGAAAAATATACCTGTCTTGCACCTTCAATTTAAGGGCATAACTAGTGAAGACATTTCTTAGGTACTTTCTTCGTTACATGTTTTATTCTCACTTAGAACAGTTTACATCTGATGCAATTACTTAGATCCTTTTTTCTAAGTTTTAGGGATAATTAAACTGAATTCAGCACACATACACGACAACGATGTTAACACAGATTTCTTTTTAAGCTCAGTTCTCTAATGGAAGTCATAAAAGCAGTATTTCACAATGTTTGCTGCACCCCCTACTGGCTATATTGTGATACTTCCTAAATAAAGAGCATCTTTAGATACTGCTCAGTGAACCCATGATTTCTCTTTGGAGTTATTTTTTGTTTAGAAATCATTTCAGTTGCATCTGATATATAATAGAGTTGAAATTTTAATTGAAAACAGTTTTCTTTGTAATTTGACAATTGATGTTTAAACAGTGCTTATCCTTTCAGGTAGCATAATAATGTATTTGTTGGAGACAAAATATTTGCCATAGCCTTTTTACTAATATTTCAGAGGAAATTCAGTGGAGGAGAAGCATCTCCCCAAATGTTCTTCTTTTATAGTAAATAATTCTACCACGAGGATCCTTATCCATAAATCTATATTCATGTTTATTTTATGCTAGATACAAATCTTGCAATATTCATGAAGCTTTAAGAAGAGCACTTTGAATCTTGAAAGAGGTTCTCTGAGGAGGGGTTGGCAGTGGTGAGGTCCAGGTAGTTATAATAGCCATAAGGGCAGGGATTATGGTTATTTGGCTCACCAGTGTGTTTCAAGCCATAATCTGGAATCAGGGTGTTAGTGACTCCTCTAAGGGGAGAAAAAGTAATTACAGGAAGCATAATTTTCTAGTTAATGCCATATGAATTGACAGCCATCAAATCTCAGTTTCTCAGGAACAAAAGGCAGAGATGCTAAATTAAGTGGACAAAGATCATTTTCTAAATGGCAAGTTAAGCTAAGTGACAAAAAATTTAGGGCCATTATTTATAAATATTGCGTGAATTTTAAGTGGGATCCTGCCCTAATTTAGAAATAAGTGCATCTTCTTTAAATGAAAACATGTATTCCTGTTACGTGTACGTCCTTTACTATCTTAACAAATATTTATTGAGATTACACACATGTTCCCAGAGTGTTTTGTGTTCTCCATTATCATACTGTGTTGAAATTGATGGTTTACTTATTTCCTCCAGTGAGTGCTCAAATTAATGCTCAGTGGATGGATGGACGTTGAATGTACAGGACTGAGGGTAGAATCCTAATGAATCACCATGGATTTCTGCAATAATCGCTCACTTTTTTGTACATATGTTGTTGGATGTGGTTTTTGCTGGTTACACATGCACATAGATGTTTTGAATACTATTAACTGTTTTTTTTTCTAATAAAATCTTATTCATCCAAAATCTAGTATTCTGAATCAGTAGAAAGTCTTAATCATAGACTGTTTTAAAAGAATTGTAGTTTATTAGTCATATGCTTACCATTGTAACACAGTCTTAAAGCTAATGTTTGACTTTTCTAAGTTGAAGTCCTTTTGTTCTAAATTTCTGTGGTCCTGGTATGATGAAAAGGTATGGTCTATTAGGACATGCTAACATTATGATATTAGTATGATGATTAGTACATGTATCTATGCAAGTAAATGATATTAAAATGCTTTGAGACAATTTTTAAAATTGCATTTCTTCCTACAATATGGTAGCCTTATTAATTTTCTTATTCCTTTCCTGTAAGGCGAAAGCAAACTGGTTAATTATTGTAAAATCACTGTTATCATGAACTCAAATTAAGACTGTAAGGCTCTTTGCGTATTATACTCTAGAGTTTGTCTTGTCATGTACGTTATTGTGAGATATGTTTCAGACCAACAGAAAATAGGTTTACTTCTGCCTATACTTTTATCTATAAGGTTTTAGAAGTAAATTCATAGAATCAGTTTGGACCTCTTGAAATAATTTTAGGAGTTATGAACTAGCTGATTTTGGCGTGTATCTTGATTTGGCAAGTGAGGAAACTCAGGCCCAGAGAGATTAGGCAAAACTTTCCAAAGTCTGGAGCCTGAGCCACATTTTGTGATTAACCACCCAGAGTTTTTCCACATTGCTTCCCATGGAAAGGATAGAGAATAGAATTATCTTATCAAATGGCCAGGAAGGGTGTTTTGCTGAATTAATTAGCTTGTAGTGTCACTGAACTTACGTGTAACATTTTCACATTTCTCTTTGTTGCAGAATGCAAAGTATGGCGAAATCCACTAAATTTATTTAGGGGTGCTGAATATAATCGGTAAGCATTTTGACAGCTTGGGTAACAAATGGGTCTGGTTCAGAGAGCAAAGACAGCAGTAAATGTTTTTGCTGGTTCATTTAGGGGTCATTGTAACAGTCTATTTAGTGCATCCATTTTTTAATACTATCTTCAAATGTTTTGATTTTTCTGTTTTATGAATATTTTAGCACTAGATTTGGGATAATATACAAAAATGTGTAGTTTTTAGAGTTTTTGTATTAACAGTTATTCTTTTCAATATATACTATACATTCAAAACATTTCGAAGCTTACCTGGAATATGGTTATAGAGATGTCACAGAAGTTATGTTGGAATTTAGTTTATCAAAGTAATTAGGCAAATTAGAATTTTCTTAGCTTTAGGAAAGTATCTATTCATAATATGAATTAGGGAAGGTTTTCATTAGCAATGGCTAGTAAATTTTAAGACGAAAATACAGGGGAAAATGTTTATATATTTTGATTGATATAATTTCTGAAGGGAGAATAAGATGATTTAAAAAAATTTTTTTATTCATTAGCAAAGCTATTTTAGTATTCAGTTAATGGTCTATATTTCAACACCTCTGCAGCTTAATGTTTTATAGGTCTTGCTTTTCTCTCTCAAAAGTGTCTAATCATCTTATTTCTCCTTTGCAGGTATACTTGGGTGACAGGACGAGAGCCTCTTACTTACTATGACATGAATCTCTCTGCCCAGGACCACCAGACGTTCTTTACTTGTGACTCGGACCACCTGCGTCCCGCAGACGCAAGTATGAAAAATCCATACGTCCTTCTGAATGGGAGGGCTTTTTGGCTTAAGTATGAAGATTTCTGCTTTTAGAATATCCACTCTGTAAAACTCCAATGAATAAAATGTTAAATTGTTGATTGACTAATAAGAACCCAGAACTCTGATAATTATGTAAACCTTTATCACAATGAAGTATTAATGTAGAAATGAGTCCCCTCATAATAATTTGAATCATGATTTTTAAAAATATATTAAATTTGGTTTTATATATTTTAAAGAAATATAAATCTTATATGATGCTAATGAAATTATTGGTTGAGTTAGCCTGAAGGATCTTGCTCCTTTATAATATCCAAAGTAGAAATT